TCCACTAGTTTTGATTTCATGGCCACTAGTTTTGATCTCATGACCACTAGTTTTGATCTCATGGCCACTAGTTAATATCTCATGTCCACTAGTTTTGATTTCATGGCCACTAGTTTTGATCTCATGACCACTAGTTAATATCTCATGTCCACTAGTTTTTATCTCGTGGCCACTGGTTTCTGTTTTGTGGACATTAGTTAATATCTTGTGGCCACTACATAATATCTCATGGCCACTAGTTTTGATTTCATGGCCACTAGTTTTGATCTCATGACCACTAGTTAATATCTCATGGCCACTAGTTTTGATTTCATGGCCACTAGTTTTGATCTCACGGCCACTAGTTAATATCTCGTGGCCACTAGTTTCTGTTTCGTGGACATTAGTTAATATCTTGTGGCCACACATATCTCATGTCCACTAGTTAATATCTCATGGCCACTAGTTTTGAGCTCATGGATATGCATTACTTATCTTGTGGCCATGAGATAATACTGTATGAGCATGTATTATTTATTTGTTTATCTAAAGTCACCTGACAGTCACTGTACAAACCTCTGCAGTTTCATGGCAGATGTTCTCAGTTTGGTGCCGTGTTTTTAGCTACTGATGTGTCTTTGTTAGGACCCTCGTGTTGAAGGACCCTTTAAAGTTCCTTCTGGCAACATTTTGACTCTGAATGTCAAACTCCCTGTTCCCTCCATCCTCCTCATCCATGTTTGTGCCCTTCCCAAAGCTGCACCAGACCAGGTCAGTAGCATGTTTCCAGTTAATACATTTCTCTGTCATTATGTGACTGAACACATGCATTTCAGCCTGGAAACCAGAGTGTTTTCAGTATAAAGTATTTATACACAAGTTAGGATGTGCTGTTCTGTTTTACTATAGTTTCTATTTTGTTTAGGTCAACGGGTTACGCTTCATCAGCATCACCAGAGGACAAGTCCTTATTGTCTGGTCTGATCACTGTGTTGATTCAAGGTGCATATTCCTAATCAAGAATTTAATTTGTTCAGTGAAAGTTCAGATAACATTAAGAAGTGTACTTTTGTTGTTGTACACTGCAGATGCATCAAGACATTTGAAGTAGAGCTTTCTGCTGATCAAAAGGAGTTTAGAAGAATTAATCCAGAGGACACTATTTTTACTTCTTATGTTTATTCACCAGGTAACAAACTCCTCAATGATATGATGAAAAATGAATAAATTGTTGTATTGGACCCTCGGTCACGGAGCTGATCTCCTATATTTCCTGTTTTGTCTTGCAGTAGACCAGGAGGTCGGGGGTCTGTACAGAGTCAGAGCTGTGGACTACTGGGGGAGACCTGGGCTATACTCTCTGCCTGAGAGGTTTTCAGAGCAACAGTCGGCGTAATGCAGTTATTTTGTACACATCAGTCAGCTGGTTGTGCTCTGTGACTCTCACTGCAAGGTTTACTTGGGATTGGCTGAGCCTCATCCAATCCTAAACCATGTTCTGACTGAAATACAGGAAATGAGTAAAAATTGTAATTTTAACAATTTTATTTCTGAAGTTCAGTCTGTGTTCAGCAGAGGGTAGTTAATCATATGTGTATATATGTTTATATATTTATTGTTTTTAATTTAGTTTTAATATTGACATGTACAGCACTTTGCGTCTGTAAAAGGGCTTTACAAATAAAGTTGGATTATAATGAATTCTCTTCAGTCTGTCCAGCAGTGTACTGTATATAAATGAGTATGTTGTGTTTTTGCGCCCTCTGCTAGAGAAAAACTGAAGTACAGAGAATATCCTTATTTCTTTTCAGTCTGTGTTAAATGTCCAGCAAATGGTGCTTAATTATATATTTTGTTTTAAATTTGTTCCATTCTTCATGCTCTGTTGTAGCATTTTTCTTTAGTTATGATAATGTGCTCTACTCCATGGTACATATAACAAACATCCAGCAAGGTGGATCAACTGAACTTTAAATAAGTTTGCACAGAAAATATAAGTACTTGCTCGTTTTCTTCACCCTCAAAGCTTCAGTAGCATTTAACATTTCAAAACAAGTCAAGGACACTCATTAACTACCAATGAAGATGGTGCACTCATACATTAAATTGCAAAATATTTTAAGATAGCTTTTCTACAGTTCTGCACAGTAAACCCATTTAATTATAAGGTTTTAAGATTAGAGCAAATAATGGGAAAGCGTGTGATTTATTTGAACTGACATCTCAAACCAAGATCAGGAGTTCACTAATAATTGGGGAGAAGGCTGCAGATACCAGAGAACCTGACAAAGATTCATCAAAAGATCCTGATCCAGTTTGACCTCAATTTAACCATAGCTACAGGTCTCTCATAAATTAGATTAACCGTCTAAATAAAAGTAAATACCCCGAGGACCTAATTTTCACATGAGCTCATCCACTCACCTTTTGAGAAATAAGCAAATAAAATTTTGACGTTACAATTTTGTCACATTTATCTTGTGACACGAAAGTCCACCTTACTGAGAAATGCACGAGTCATCATCAAGTTGTTTCTGTTTGCCTCCCTATTGGAACAATTTATAATAGCACTCAGTTCATCTTTGGTAAATGAGTTTAAGTAACTTGTGTAAATAATTGCAACAATTCTAAAACTAAATGGGAAAAATTTACACAACCAGCCTTGTGTTGGGTCCAAAGTGAAAATGATCAAAGAATTTCATTTTTAATCTTTTAGCATTTTAATTATTTTGAACTCTAGAAAAGTGACATCTGTTTAGGATAAGTCAAACCTGACGTGGCTTTCTGAGTGTGGACCGTAAATGTCACATGTTGATACAAACAAGGACTACAGGGATCAGAGGTTTCTGTATTTATCATATTGCTTCATTATAAACATCAGCTTTAGAAGTTCTGAGTACATTTGTTGTTGTACAGAAGTTTTTTTTATTATACTGAGTTTAACAAAATTACTTTTAACAATCCAGAGGGGTGTTGGATCGGTCTTGACAGTGAGCACTTCCACAAAACAGGAGTGTCTGACTTTGTCATTATTACTCCGGAGAAAGGAGGGCGAGGTTGGTCATTTCACAGGAACAAGGAGATCTTCATAACCATTTATTTCAAAATGGTTTCATTTTCTGTGAAAGCAGAATGGATAAAAGAGACATGTCACAACTGCTGGACTGCATTAGTTTTAGATGCTGAAAAAAGTCTGATGTGACTGAGTATGAAGATGATACCTTCTGCTAGCTTCTTAGCAATGAGCTCCTGCTCCGCAAGGGCCTTTTTCTCCTCCTCGATCCTCCTTTCCTCAGCCCCGATGGGTTTCAGGTAAGCTGAGAAAATCAAAAGGTTTTGTTTTAAAGTGAAACTAAAATTTTATAATAAAAAAAGAAAGAAAAACAGACTTATCCAGCTGGACTTCTGAATCACACCTGAGTTTAACTTATAAATAGGGCTGCCACAAACGATTATTTTCATAATCGATTAATCACCGATTATTTTTTTGATTAGTCGACTAATCGAATCATACGTTAATTGAATATAAAACTTAGAGCTTATCACGTCAGAATGCAGCTGCTATTACATAACCATCGTTAGATTTTAGCTATATGCTAACTAAAAATAATTGCTGTTGAAGACAAGTTCTGCTCTGAAGATATTACACAGGTTTCTCTTTCATTTTCTTTAAATGATCCCACACTTTTGAGCTCAGTTGTCAGGTAGCCATGATACCAGAGCCTGTCTGTATAATGTCTTGTGATGTCCACGGCCTACCCCAGTTACCACTACTGTGCATGTGTGTCAAGGACAGAAAGGCAGATGTGGCAGTGGAAGGTGTCAAAGCAGTTTGGAGAGAAAAACAAAGTAAWGAACAAAAAAAAAGAGAAAACGATTAATCGATTATTAAATTAGTCATCGATTATTTTAGTAATCGATTAGTCGTCGATTAATCGTGGCAGCCCTACTTGTAAACTGATTATTTTAAAAAGCTTCACCCAGTACGTTTTGTTCATCTAATCTAAGACTACTTCATCCTCTACATCAAATAAATAAATCTTGTCAGGTTTTGGGATCAATCTGTCAGTTCACATCAATTTAAGAAATACTTTTGACCTAACCTGTCCTGATTTTTCCCCAAATCTAAGTAAATACATTCTTTGGGTTAATGTCACTCGTACATAAGGAATGGTATGTGTATCTAGATTGTATAAATAACTTACCGTATCTCATTTTTCCATAGATGATGCCAGCAATTAAAGCTGAATACCTGGCTGTCTGTAAATAATTAAAGAAACAAATTAAAGAAAAATAAAATCTCAAGTGAATTGATTCTATCTGCGATACATAAAACGACCAGCAGGATCACAAATTATTTTTTAAAACTAGTTAAATTATAGGTACACTAATATAGAGGAGTTACATTTAAACTTGACATGACATAAAACAATGAGCAAATCGCGGAAGTTTATTCTGATAATTTAGTTTATAACAAATTAGCACCGCGCTGTTCACTTAATCACTGACTGACTGGTGCTCGGTCACACGGTGAACACAAACATTGACACTGATTGCACTACATTTGCAGATGACATATTAGCCACGCAGTTTTAACTGATTACTTTGCCAGACATGAGTATCGGTAATGTTGTTACAACTCGGTCCTTGCAAGTGAAAATATCCCGTAGCTAACAGTTAGCAGGTTAGCTTGCTCTAATTCACCGCTAAAAATACCTTTTTTTCAGTCGTTCAACAATAAAACATAAATAACTCTTTTATAATAACTCTGTGAACACAAACCTTAATCAAAGGCGACACTGCGACAGGAGGAGCCATATTTTATATGAGGCCAGTGATTAGCAACAGAGGTCACTTTAGCACAGCAGAGAGACTGAAGGGACGTTTCTTCTTCGTGGGTTTGTTTACGGCCCGCTGAAGTGTTGAGCTGCTGCCCTCCTCTGGAGGAATATGGATCTGCACGTGAGTGTGCTGTAATTTCTTCAACGGTGTTCTGACATCTTTTTCTTCATATTTATGCAGATACCTTCTTTAAAAGTTGGGGGAATTGAAATATTAGAGAAGAAATGTTCAAACTTGCACATAAGGAAGGTTATTTTTAGTTCGAGTTTAGCGTCACCCAGAGGAAAGTTTTTTCTGGAATGCAGTTTGTGAATATATGTTGGAAAATGTCTCACTTTCAATATTGTATTGCAAATAAAATAAGAGAGCTTAATTTCAAAATTTTACACAATGTTTTCCCATGTAACAAAAAGTTTTGTCAAGCTGAATCAGAGACTATTGCATTTATTTTGCAATTGTTCTCACTCTTCTGGGTTTTGGAGGGACATGGAGAAATTTGTCAAGGACAAAACTAAACACACTATTCAAATAAGGCCTAAAGATGTTATATTCAGGTTTGAATGTATTGAAAAACGTTTGAGCTTCATAATTAATCTAATGATCTTCTTAGGGGAATTTCATATACAGCACATAAGGCAAGGTCCTCTAGATCTCTCCCAAACTTCAATGCTTTCTTAGACTTAGATTCATGTAAATACTTTAAGTTTAACAAAAATAGGAAGGCAGAATCCACTTTGTTGCATCTTCAAAGTTTGTGTTTGATTGACCCTAAAAGACAAGAATTAGAGAGTACCTTAATTTGCTACATGTTTTTGTAGTTTGTCATTTGTTTCACGTATGTCAGTTTTCTTTTATTTGTAATTGTAACAAAGAAGACAAATAAAGCTTTGGGGGAAAATATTTTTCTTCATATTAGTTTAACATTTCATGACTGCTTGTATTGTAATGCTCAGACTTTAATTTGTTTACTATGGAGGACCAAACCTATCATTATTGGAAATAAATGTATAAATATATAACTGGCGTATTAAAATAAATTATAGGGTCAAAAAGAAGTTTGACAGATAAATTATTGNCACACACACACACACACACACACACACACACACACACACACACACACACACACACACACACACACACACACATCTTTTAAAAGAATGTGGAGAAAATGCGTTATGATCTGATGAATTTGAAGTTGATTTTAGCCACTGTTCCAAAAGACATGTTTGGTTCAGGAACAAGACGGTGGATCAGGAAAGAAGACCATCCCCACAGTGAAACATGGTGGTGGCTGCATCATACTGTGGAGTTGTTTTTCTTCAGCTGGAACTGGGGTTATTGTCAGGGTGAACGGTTCCTGTTTATTTTGGATTAAAGCCTTCGAAAACTGACAATGTAAAGGAATTTTCCTTTTCAAAAATATTGGTGACCCCAAGCGTGCACCTGGCTTCACCATAAAAATAAAAATAAAGACTTCAAACGTCATATATGGAATTTAAACCTGAACTGTGTGGTGACCTGAGGACGGCTGTGCACAGTGTGGTGTGTTGTGGTTCAATGACTCACTTGGGTCGAAAATAACTGCACAACGAGCACCTTTCAACCATACCCATTAGAATCATTGGGGGGATTATCATTTCCTAACCCCAGATTAGAAGGAAGATTCTACCACCTGCTCTGAGAGGGAGGGCAGTGATCTGTTAATGGGTTTATTTATGGTAAACAACCAGGCTCTGAGGTTAGAAAAAAAAAAACAGTTTAATAATATATTATTATAGTATTTAACCCTGTAAAACTGACAAGATACCATGACCAAATAGGTAAAAATATATGTTAAAAAAAACATCCTGATCTACTATCAGTTTCTACAAAGATGCACTTACAGCAGCCCACCACCATGCATGAGGTATGCTGGTGAAGTTTGTGTGCGGCATGTCGTGCTCCACGGTGAAGACCATGGCCGAGAAGGTAAAGATGCCCATGGCGATGAAGAGGAAGAGGCAGCCCACCTGCTGGTAGCACTGACGCAGGGTGAAACCAAACGCCCTCAGACCCACAGAGTGACGCGCCAGCTTCAAGATACGGAAGATCCGCATCAGCCTCATGATCCTCAACACTTGCCCCACCTTCCCCACCTGCCCCACCGCCTGCATGTCCACCTCGTGCTTCATGTAGTTTTCCTCGTTGTCGAAGAACTCCAGGATGGCCTGCAGGTACTGAGGCAGGATGGCGATCAGGTCCACGGTGTTGAGCACGCTCCTGCTGAAGGCCCGGAGGTCGGGCGTGGATATGAGACGCAGCATGTACTCCATGGTGAAGAAGGCGATGCAGATGGACTCCACGTATTCGCAGTACGTCTTGCCGCTCAGCTGACGTGTGTGCGTTCTGTACTGCATCTCCTCCACTGTGTTGAGGGTCATGGCCACCAGGGAGATCAGGACGAACAGACTGGAGGCCACGGCCATCAGTTTGGCCTTGACCGAGGAGAACGGCTTCTCCATCAGGTTCCAGATGGCTCGGCGCGCCTGGCCCATGAACATGTCGTGGAAAAGCTCCTCATTCTCCTCGATCTCCACCTCGGCCTCCAGCTCCCTCTGGATCTTCAGCTGCTCGTTCAGCTCGTCCTGCCTCTCCTCGAAGGAGATGCGGCAGCAGCGGTTCGTGTTCTTGATCCTCACGCCCCAGTAGTTGATCTCCTCCAGGAAGTTTCGAGGACACAGCTCGTCTCTGATGTACAGCACACCCGTCCTGTAGAAGTTGAAGATGCTGTGAAAGACCTCCGGGTCCCTGTCGAAGAAGTACTCGTTGTTGGTCACGATGTAGTCATCACACAGGTCCAGCTTCATGTTGTGGTCTGTATAGGTGGCCAGTCGTCCTATTCTGGTCTTGGGATACTTTGCTGCCATCTTGTAAGCTATCTGGTAGGACTTCCCCCCTACATTGATATTGATCACGTAGTTCTTGGCAGGTGAAATCTGTTTGGAAAAGACATACGGACCACCACCCTCATCTTCTTCATCTTCGTACTCAGAGTAGATGTCATAGATGTCTCTGCTCAGCTCCTGCATGGAGTTCCATGTCTTCACGCAGCTTTCCTTGGCCAGTGGGTAAACTGTCTCAGAAGGTCTTCGATTTGAATCTAAGTCTGTGACTTTGTAGTTGGGGAAAAGACTCTGCCTCCTGTTCATGAAGTTCCCCACCTTCTTGGCACTCCCCATGGTGACAGTCCGGAGACCAAACTGCAGACTGATGACTCTGCTGCCTAATACTGTCTTCACCTAAGAGTGGAGGACATGAGGCGTCCTGCTCATGTCCCCATTAATGTTGCTGACTGAGAGGATCCACATACTTACAGGATGTTTAAATACCATTATCCTCTGCTGAGCTGCCTGGCTGACATGACGCTAGTTGAGAAGCACATCCTGATGAATAATCATTAAGATGAGTCATGTAGTTTATGGTCTAAACTTGGTGAAGGTTGGGGTAAAACACAATAGACAACAATAACATGAAAACAGGTACATTCTGTCACAGACTGATATTTTGAAATCCCTGTGCAGTCTCTCAAACAATATTCCATGTCTTTGGTTACTTTTATATTCTCTGAACAAAACTCCAATACATTGGTACTATACAAAACATACAAACGAAGTGTGTTATACATACTTTTTAAATCACCTGCTCATTGTGTTGTAGGTTGTTTACTTTAATTTCTGAGGTGGTTTAAACATTTTAAGATAAAGGGGAACAAAGAAAGCTGGTGGGTCCAATAAGATAAGGGCTTTAAGTATTAGCTTACTTCACAGTTGGGTGCAGAGTTCTGTAGACATAAGATAAATCAAAACCTCAAAATGTTAAAAAGGATCGAACAGAAAGATTCACTAAAGCTCTGTGACATTTTGATGCCTTTAGAAAGTAATGGTTTAATTAGGAGGGATTTAACAAAAATCAGTTTTTATGTCACAAAATAATTCCATTGGATCCTCTTATTAGCCATCAGGAGGAGAATTTAGCATTAACTGGCAACAGGTCTGTAAGAGGACTGAAAAGAAGTAAAGATGAACAGAGGGTTAATCAGTCAGCACCACATGGTGATCTGAGTTAAACAACATTATCTAACTTACTATGTGGGGTCCAGAAGATAAGAAAACAATTGATACTAAACAATATTCCTAATATACAAAACCCATCTGGTGACATTAGTTTAAAAAATAATGTGTGGCCACGAGATAACTATTGCAGAGACAGTTGATTGTTGACATGGACAAGTTTGAATTAATTTCATTTTATTTTAATATAGGAATGAATTACAGTAACATACTTCAGTCTCTTGGATTTAGGCACAGAGTAATTCCTAACATGAGACATTTAATTCAGCTGCTCAAAATTATCTCATGGCCACACATTATACTGTATATTAAACTGTTTTTTTTACTTCTATCACCAGATGAACTCTGTACTGAAATGTTTTTAGCATAAAAAATGTACTCAGATTTATTATCTATGCTAGTCTAAACATGAAGGTTGATTAAAATATAATGAGTATTGAATTGTATATGTTTTCATTAATCTAATTCAGCCTCCACTTGTGAATCAGCTTCGTAGACCTTACTGTAAATTACAAGCAAAATAAAATAATTATATTCTCCATTTATGTGAATTCTATTAAAAAGGTCTGTTAGCATCTGTATGTTTTAATGTTTTTATTTCACAGAAATAACATCTGCTTTGAAGCGTTCACTTACTTATCCTCACAATGTATAGATTATATTCAGTAAAGTCCTGTCAAGGCATAGTGAAAATGTGAAGGTTTAACACCATCCTCTTTATGAAGCCCACTGTATACATTCAGTTTTATTCACAGCTGAAAAGCTTTTTAATACTTGAATTAAGTCAGAGTTGCTGCTTTTCTGGGTGGAGTTCCTCCCATGCATGCATGGGTTTTCTTCAGGTGTTCCGTTTTCCTCACACAGACCAAAAACATGCATTTTAGGTTAATTAGTAACTCTAAACTATCCCTAGGTGTGTGTGTGTGAGAGTGTGAATGGTTGTTTATCTCATTTGTCTTTATGCCACTGAGATGGATTTGTGACCTGTCCAGGGTGTACCCCACCCCTCACACAGACTGCTAGAGATAGACACCAGCTCCCCACAGCCTGGAAAGGAGAAGCAGGTAAAGAAAATTGTATGTTTTGATTATATATATATATATATATATATATATATATGTCTTTTTGTCAGATGCAAAAAAAGAAAGAAAGCTACAAGTAAACAAGCTTTTCTCAATTGAATCACTTAGTTTCATTTAGTTTTCTTTTACTCCTTGCTTATGCGCACCACTGCACCAGAACAAATTCCTACTGACAATGGCAAAAAAGTGTTTCTGATTCTGTTATATTTTTAACATATTTTAAATAATTTTATTATTTTGTCACATATGTTTTTATTAACTGTTGATTGTTTTGAAAGCTGTAGATTGTTGATATTTTAATACTTACACACAGACAGTGTTTAGTTTTACTTCTAACAGGCTGTTAAGACCATGAATATGTAAAAAAGCAAAAAAAAATCTAAATAATAATAATAATAAAGAAAATCCAGCATGTGTTCTCTTTGTCATTACATAAACAACATTAAAAAAATGTCTTGCAGCATCAAACGTCCACCTGAAGAAGGTTGGCTGTGATGAGGGGCAGTGAAGACATGATAAAGTTGATCTAAGACAAATTTAATGAACTGCATCCACTATAAAAAAAACTGAATAAATCACAGAAACAAGCAGCAGTCATTTTCATCTCTTCCCTGATCTCAGAGTTTAAACGCCTCTGGTGTTTTATTTTATTTTTTACAAACACATCTGAGGTTTACTGTTCATGTTTTCCCATCCTGGTGCCTCAAATAATAAGTTGGTAACATCACAAGCTTTCAAGCTAGAAAAAAAAGGTCAAAAAAATTGTTTACAACAATTCTATTGAGCTTTAACGTTCACACCGAACGCGTTTTGAGCGGCAGGAGCGGCCGATTCACATGCAAAGTCATGAGGACGCGCCTCTAGGGGTCGTGCGTCGTGTCACGTACGTTTTGGGCGGTGCGCAAGGAAGGCGGAAGGGGCGCAGAGCGTTTTCCGCGCATGCGGTGCTGCGGAAGCAGCCAAGTACACTTCGCTGCAGCATGCAGCTCGGGGCGGTGACAGACCTTTCCGTCGGTCCCATACCTTATATGGAAATGGGACTATTGCATTCCGGAAATGAAGGGGGCGCTAGTGACACTATTTTCTATCGAACACTATTATCTCTTATTTGCACCCATCCTTTTTCTCTTTTATGCAAGTTTGTTTGTTTGTTTGTTTGT